AAACTAATACATCGAAAATTAGAACACAAACAATTACTAGAAAATTTCTAGATCAGAACACATATATCTCTTCATCGAAAATTAGTTTGTTTAAATAAACTGAAAATCATACTTGTGTAAAGTTTTGAAAACTTACAAGTAACTATTTTCAGTTTAAAAAAAAAAAAGAAACTCACAACTAACTTAAAAAGTTAAAATCCACTTGGTACATGCGATACAATTTGTTATCATAGTTTTAGTATAAGCAATGAATAATTTGTTTGTTGTTAGGAAAAATGGAGACAAAAGATTCATATTTTCATAAGTAATTATAATTAATTTTGATGTCACAAAGCTTAAACATGGTTTACCAACGGTTAGGTGTAAATCATTTTTTTCAAATAGTTTGTAGCTATTTATTTTATTGTTTGATTTAATCGTCTTAGTTGTTGTCTAATTGATGAATGATACATGGTTCGTGTCCAACCGCTATGTATTCTACTAGGTAGATCAAGCCTAAAATTTTGCTAATAGCACACACAAACACATAATTTATTAATCCTTCTAATTTTCTTTTTACGTCTTTAATCCTTCTAATTCAAATCTTTTTATGAAGAAATTCAAATTTGGTGTACATGAAAGAATTTTAAAATAACGGTATGTACCGAATATTTATTAAACATAGTTATTTTTAAGAAATTCATTTTTATGTACATCAAATTCTTTTTTATGCGGTTAGTTTTTATGCACAATCGAGTATATTTTTTTTATGTGGTTTTATGTCTTAAGTGGTAGTTTTAGTATGTTCGTAGTATTTAAAATCTTTTACATGTCAATTGGGCAAAAAATGAGAAAAGAGATATTTGACAATTCTAAAGCAAAAAATAAAAGTCATATGTCAAATAATCATTGGAGACCTCAATATCATTGGATTGATCTGAAATTTGAACAAGAGATAAACAGTTGAGTCAACTTTTCATCCATAAGAAGTTTGAAGTCATTTTGATCAACGGTTAGAAAGTTACACCAATTCTCGTCTAGCTAAACTGATGGGAAAAATAAAAATTTCAATGTTTCCTAATTTGATTTATTTTTGTCAGATATTTCAACCATCAAGATTTTAGACCTATAAATACATGTTTCTAACCACTTTAGAAAAAAACTTTTATTTTTTGTTTTTATGTTTTTGAAAGAAGATTTTCGAAACTTTATTAACAATTTAAAAAAGATTTATGAACG